AGGTGAAACCTTGCAGATTTTTTTAAATTTTTGTACAAAGTTTGATCCAAAACCTGAGATCTACCACATTTTTTTGAAAGTTACCACATTTTTTTCCAGATTCTACCACACAAATTTTTTTTAAGTCCGATCACTGTTGAGCGGTTGTGCTGCTGAGTAGGGAGAACGTTCCAAAAGCTGCTATTCAATCGCTTGTTTTGTATGGAAAAACGTTTCACATGCAAATAGATTTTAAAAATTTAGAATTTTTGTGAGAATAAATTGCAAATCATTTGCTCTACTAATACTACCTGTTCAATGTGCCTTGATTCTCATACAGCACTCTCAAACATACACCAAATGTACATATTAGAAATTTTCTTCTTCTGGAATCTAAGCAGCAACTGCGAAAAGAAGTCAACAAAACGTTGTTGATTTATTCATCTGCTGATGAACTTAATGTACTGGTTGGCCGTTCAAATACATAAAAATTTAGTGTTTGTGATAAAAGTGTATAAAATATTAGTCCTTTCGAATTAATTGGTTTTATAACATCCATTACACGTAAAGACGTGCAAAATCATCGTATAGGCTCTGTTTAAAGGTTTAATTCGATAATGGAGATTGTCGTTCACGCAAGTTGTCATGCTTATGTTCAATTTAGGAACACATTTACGCAGCCTACTGCCATAATTCGCCAATACAATGTAAGTATAACCAGCGCTTAAGCGTCATAGAATACCTACTCATCAATGTTTTGTCTAATAAAAATATAAATACAAAACAACAATTGTCCAGCGATGAATGTTTATATTGAGAGTATACATATATTCAATTTGTAGGACAAGCAAGAAAAGCCCTACTAAATAAAAAAAATCGCTATTTCGAAAAAAAAAAAATGTTTTTATTGAAAATCAAGAGTAAAAATATAACAAGCAAAAAACATGTCAATTTTTAAATTAGTACCTCAACTGTAAAGAAATTAATAATTCCCTTGTTTTATGTGTATTTATGCTTATTTAAATTTTTTTGTCAATTTGTAGTATTCTGAATATAAGACTATGTTCGAACAGGCACCTAATTGGCAATTAAGAACCTTTTCACAAATTTAAGTCTTAGTTTTTACCCAATTTATCGTACAAAAATTCAAATTATTAATTTCCAATTAATAATAAATTTTCAATTAATTTGTGCCAGATTCTCTATGAGGTATTTTTAAACTGGTCCAGCTCACGTAAATCTAAACACGTTCGCTCCCCAGCGTATTTAATCAGGGCGTCATCATAGACCAGGTAGAATTTTATTTGTTTTTGTCTAGTGTTGTGAGTTTTGGTTGTCATTTGGGTATCTCAGAAACTCAAATTCATAATAAAAGTAATTGTTTTAAGCCTGACACATAATTGTGACGCTGGTCTATAAAGATATTTTTTTGTGCAGACAAGGGTCACATTTATGTGACAGGCTAAACTTCAAGGTTTTATTTAACCGAGTTTTATTCAAAAATACAAAGCTTACATAAATCTAAGTCTAGGTTAAAACATAGTAGCATTATGACTTGTTTTGGACATGAAATTTTCTGAAACATGGCTCAATACATAGGCCAATTACTTGGCCGTTATGTTCAAATTTATTATGTTCAAACAAGCCTAAATATATGTATGCCCTTACCGTCTTCTGTGTTTTTATTTCACTATGAAGCCAATATTTTCTCTCTTAAAGTCGGTAAAAACTTTCCCACGTGCACTGTAAATAAACATAACCTTTTACTTTGCAGGTAGCTGTAATCTCGGGACCAGTTGTCACAAACGTGTGCCAGACCTTCCTATAGACCATACTGTATCCAACAACCCGCTATCGCAGACTGCGGTGAATGGAGGTATAATTTAATTAAGTTAAACCGGCGTTACACACGTGAAAACCCAGCTGACACATATATGTGACGGGTGGTAGCGAACGTGTTAATATTTTTCCGAAGTATTTTGGTAGAAGTCTTTTTTTGGTGATGCAGTCTAATGTACAGTAGTTGAAAAAATTATAGCTGCAAAAAATTTTCACAAGTTTTAAAATATTATTTTTGTTGCTATTTAATTTTGGTTAGTTAGTTATAGTTCATTCTTTAACAACATCCGTATAAATACAAGAGTTTAAAGGCAGTGTCATACGATTGGGTATTTACCAAAATTTGGTGCAAATCGTGTCGCAAATATTTTTCTTATCCCAAACACGAAAATAAATGTGTTGAAATTTTTCTATAGAAATCTATTTCTATAGAGTTTTAAATGGCTAAAACTTCGATTGATTTTTTAGAATTTTTAAAAAAGCTCGAAATTGTACGAAAAATTTTTCAATTTTTTTCTAATATTGCACAAATTTGGAAACTTGGATTTACACGGGTTTTGTTAAAGAATTAACTATATTTTGTAAAAAAAAAAACCAAAATTAAATAACAAATAGAAAATAATATGTAGAAACTTGGCAAAAAGTGGTTCGGTTAAATTTTTGGACCACAGTATGTATTTTTTAATATCTCTAATTGGACATGCACATCTATACATAGTATAAAGGAAAGTCGAGATTCTTTGTACGCGATAATATCGAAAACTACTGAACGGCTTTTGCCGAGATTTTCTCCAATATACTTTGTATCTATAGGAGAGTGACCATTTTAATTTAGAATTTTGATTGGGTTGCCACCTGTCTAAAAAACTATAAGATCCGCAAGGTTCGCTGGATTACAAAAGATGAGGTGTCAAATGAATGGGATGGGTCTCTAGAAAAGCACAAATGTTTTATTTTTTAAATAGGGTTGCCACCTGTTGATAAAATTACTATATACAATCATAATAAGTGTAGGCATCAGTTATGCACCGTCGCAGTCAAACATAAAGATTTGGCTTCTAAATGTGCAATAACGGATTATTTTTCTGAGTAGGGTTGACACCTAATAAAAAGTAATAAGACTTTCACCGTTCGTTGGATTACAAAATTAAATATCAAAAGAAAGGGCATGGCCTCCGCATGTACAAAAACTTTAATTTTTTAAGCGCGGTTGCCCCCTATTTAAAAATTACTATCATCTTTAGATAGCACATACACGCTAATCTCAAAAACTACTGAACGCATTTAGACGAGATTTTTTAGGTATAATCTGTATCGATAGGAATATTATCTTTAGTACTTTAAATACCTATAGGGTCTAAAATATTATAAGATCCGCTCTGTTCGTTGGATTACAAGAAATGAGGTGTCAAATAAAAGGGCTCGGCGTTTAGATGTACAATAATGTATTACTTTTTGAGTAGGGTTGCCACTTTTTAAAAATTTTAAGAACTTCACCGTTTGTGGGACTAAAACCTGAGGCACCAAGTAAAAGGATATGGTATCTCCATGTGAAATAAGTTTTTATTTTTTGTTTCAGTGGGGTTGCCACCTATGTAAAAATTATGTACATATGTGTAATACGCGAGGGCAATTTTCGTTAATTACTTTATATTTGCACAGTTCATTCAATTAAAAAAGAGGTGTCAAATGAAAAGGCTTGGCCTTCAGATATGCAGTCAGGTTTTATTTTTCCAAGAGGGTTGCAACCTTTGCGAAAAATTAAAAAATGTGGGCTGTTCGTTAGATTAAAAAAATTAGGTGTCAAATGAAAGGGCTTGGCCTCCAGATGCATATATATTAATTCTTTAAAAAAAAAAAACAATTACCCAAATGTATATAACCGCGACATTTTAGCAAGTTTTGACTATTTTTCTTTAGTTTGCTAATTGTTTATTATTCTTTATGAAAATATAGCTTATTACTTAACAAACACCATATAAATCCAAGTTTCGGACTTTGTGCAAAAATTATGAAATTTCTGCACAATTCCAACAAAATTTTAACTTTTTAGTCAGCAGCTTTAGAAAAAATTATATAATGCAGTTTTGAAGTCTGTTAAATTCGAGTTTAATGAGGTGAAAATTTAAACTAGCAAGGTCTTACTGCTGATTTTTGGGNCTTTATTATACTAAAATGTTGAATTTCTAAAGATGCTGATCAAAAACTTGAAAATTTTGGTGAAAATTTGCCACATTTTCATAATATTTTCACAAGGTATGAAGTTTTGATTCAAATGTTTTATCTTTTTAAGTAATCAGCTATATTTTCATAAATAGAATAAATACTAAATTAACTAAAGAAAAATAGCCAAAACCTGCTAAAATGTTACGTTCCAGTTTATATTCAGTCACTGTATATGTGCCTAAAATAAAAATCATTGAAATCGGCCCAGTATTTGAAGACTTGTAGGATTAGAAAAAAATGTATTTCAATTGTATATATGTACATATCGCTGAGTGGAAGATCGACGTATCTCGGCAGCCAGTTCGAAAATTTTTGAACAACGCTCTATCTCAGGAAACTTTTCAAGAACGCCCTACTTAAGAATTTGATTGAAAAACGCTCTATCTCAGAATTTAGTTGAAGAACGCCCTATCTCAGCTGCCGATTCAAAAACGCCCTATCTTAGCTTATTTTCAATGTATTTTTGTTTGAGATAGGTCGTTTTTGAACCGAACTCTGAGATAGGGTGTTATTCAACCAAATTCTGAAATAGGGTGTTTTTCAATAAAATTCTGAAATCGGGCGTTTTTCAATCAAACTCTGAAGTAGGGCGTTTTTGAACTGGCTGCCGAGATAAGTAGGTCGATCTTCCACTCAGCCATCGATATGTAACACAATTCGACATGAAAAATTTCTCCGAGGAATGGCTACCCATTTCTAACAGATTTTGGGCCACTAAATTTGTAAAAATGGGAACTTATGTATACAAATTTTGAGAAAATATTGCAAATAGCAAAATTGCCTCAGCTAATTGTCCTGTTTGAACACACTAACACTGTTCTGCTCGGTTGAATAGACAAATCTCGGCCATATTTTTTGCTCGCCCTCATCTTGACAGTTTGAGTTTCGCAATGTTGATTTTTTGGCATAGGCGATTACGGTTCGTTTGCGATTCAATATCATGTATTTGAAGTTTTTGTATATTTATTTTCCAACAGATGTACGTTTTTAACATATTTCTGTGTAGTCTAATCCATCGTACAGTTCCACAAGTAATGAACTCTTCTTACCGGCAGGCTGTAGGTGTGGTTTTGGTTAGTGTATTGGTGCTTTTGGTTTAGTGTGTTAGTGTATTTTAAATAAATTGTAGATAATAGAAATGGAAGAAATCGTAATAGAAATGAAAGAAATTGTAAAAGATAAGAGCAAAGGCCAAAAAAACAGGTGACCTCAGCTGTAGGAATTTTTTGGCAATCAGCTGACATTGTTTTTACTTAGGAAACTGTACTATGGTCTGATCACAGAATGCAGCTATTTCTTTCATATTTTTATTTATATGTACATATATAACAAATGCAGTATGTTCAAATATAATGCTTTAACAATAAATGCGCAAAAAGTATATGTTACTGTTAATATTAAGTTCCATCGTTATTTTGATTAAAATCTAAATTGAAAAATCGAATTGAATTAATAATTACCGTAAATTCTGTTTAGCAATTTTTTTGAAGCGATTGAATAGTTACTTTGTGAAATTTTATTTATATCTGATTTGTTCAAAATGGCTGATCGTATGCGCCCCATATATCGTTCACGTATTGCAACATATCTATGTTGGGTTGCAAATTACGGATGCGTTTACGATGTGCGTCGCTTATTATCAATCGTCTAATTTCAGCAAACAAACCACTATGTTCTTTCAATAAAAATTTACATGTGGGTATGATATTCTGCAATGCGATGATCCGCCAATTTTCTTTGATTTGAACGTTTTTCATAAAAGACGATATATCCATCGCCTGATCTACTGTCGATGTAATACGTTCATTTGATGTGAAAATGGAGTTGGTGTTTTCCGAGCTTGAGCCCCGTTGAGAAGAAGCGCCTACACCTGCACTATATGCACCATATGCCGCACTAAGTTTCGACTCCAATCCTTCCAGCTCTTTATTTTCATTAGAAGCACTTGATTCACTCACTGACTTAACAACGTCCAATCGCCCACCAAGAGTGAACTGATTTGGGATGTACCATCCGTAACGGTTCAATAAATCGATGACAAGTTCTGTACGAGTAAGTTGGGGTAAATTAACATTGTCAACGATGTCGTAAAGTGTTTTGATGAATGCCGGATTCAAATCAATTCTATTTTCGTCAATGAATAATCCTCGTTTCTTGTTTAATAGTGACACGACGGCGTTTCTTGTCTTACTTGAACTTTTGGACGTAGAACTTTTCTGTTTGGAATATTTTGCGCTCACTGACACGATGACTGCTGAAATTTCAGCAGAAACTTCATTTTTACTGGATGTTGTAGAACCCGTTGTACGAACCGTTTCAATGATTTGCTTGTCGATAACAATGCTCGGCGTTGGAAACTCTTCAACTGGCTGATAGGTCTTGTCGAAGATAACTGGCGACAAAATGCCCATCCCAAAGAGACCCGTGTTATCATCAAGGACAAGACCTTTTAAAAATCTTCTCATCAATGCTTGTCGTGGGGTCAATACCGTTCCAACAAATAGTGTGTATTGTCGATCAGCGCATAACAGATCATACGATACATCGATCGCTTGACACAATGGTGTCATTAAAGGTATAGTAGTGTAAGGCGAGGCATCTTTGAATGCATTTATGGACTTTACTGATACAGCATGCGAACTTAAGGCCAAGTGTTCTACATTTTCCAGATAATCAAGAAATTCGCCAACGGTTTCATTTTCAATCTTCGTGACATTCAAATAAAAAGCCGATTTCATTTGGACGTCTTCTAAATCAAAAATGGAAAGCTTGAAAATCTGCGACGTAATAACCGAACAATATCCAGGAGATTCGGCAGTCGCCATATCTATAATGAAAAGAAGAGAAGAAATTATTTAATACATATATGGCCCAAATCGCCGAAAACAAAACCAAGGGTAAACCACTTTTATCTCAGGTTTCGCAGATTTTTGATTATATCTGGGTCATACATATTCTAAGGTATCGGACAACATATATATTAACACGAATCTCCTTCTCTCAAACATAAAAATTTACCTAATCCTGAGACACCTATTAATTAATGAAAATTAAAAAAGCACAACATGCCAATAAAGGGTAGTTTATGTTTAAGGACCAGCACTTTTTTGCATCATGATTGACTCTCTTCGCTTGCCTTGTATTACTTTGAAGTTACTAAAAAAAAGTATTCGAAAAAAATCAGAAGAAGACGATTTTCCGCCTTTTCGCCTATTTTGCTAGTACTGCTTTTAATTCTTCAAAATGCACTGTGGAATGGTGATGTACGATTTTTCGTTCAAGAGTTATATATATAACATCGCCAAACCAAACATATGCTTTCTAACTTCCAATGGCCATAGTTTCTGAAGGAAAAATCGTAAAGCATCACTCGAAAGCGAATTTTGAAGGGTAAGAATAGTACTATATGGCATAGAGCAAACAAAAGTGGCCATTAAAGCTGTTTTTCGTGTACTTAACCGCGAAAAACATCAACATATTAGCGCAGTTCTAGGCTCGAAATTTACTTCGGAAACCACCTTCAACTGCACAACATAACAAACTTTCAAATCTATATTCATAATTATCATGTTCTTAATTTCTTTGGATGTCATGTCTAATCGCAAGTATACTGAATTCAAGCTACTTATTGCATAAAACAGACTACGATCCATCTAAAAACCGAATTATAATCTTATCGATACACGTATATCGTATTTACTTCCAGCCCTCCTTAAAGGTAAAATTAGTGAGATAAAACAAAATCCGCGCTATCAGAAAAAGCATTTTCTTTTAATTAATTTTTGAATTCTTTAACCTAGATCCAAGGGTTTATGGTGGATACACTGCATCTCGAAATTTTGAATTTTATCAACGCTTAAGTTTTGGCTTATATATACCAAATACAACTAAAACTTTCAAGAGCTTAAAAAGGGCTACATAAATTTGAAAGGAGCTAAAAATAGAGATAGGAGCTATAACCCGATAGAAAGAAAAATAAAGAGTTAAATCTAGCTCCAAAAGCACCTAAATGGCAACACGGGCGGGACGTACTTGCCGCAATAA